AGAGAATACCTAGTCACTTTGATGTCTGCAGAAATATGCTGCCTTTCTGTGTATTAGGTTCAAATGCAGCCTGTAAGCATGGAAATTAATGTACTCAATACAGGGAAACGTTTAGTGTGTACTGTACATCGTTCATAGTTAGGTTCAGAACTTTTCAGCCAACCCTCATACAGATGTCCTACCAAACAGTGATGCTTCATGTGAACTACTTCAGATGCCTTGAACAGTTGGTAAAAATAAATAAAACTTAATAAATCAAAACTGCATCCCATTTCACATTCTTAAAAAATTAGAAAATCTAATAATTAATTCATTGTGGTCACCGTTCAAAATGGGAACATTTTCAGATGACATTTGAAGACAACAGTTTACAACACAAATCTAGATGAAGTAACCAGTCAAAGCTACGGAAGAGGGATATACAGTTAGACGTGTTTGTGGATTGGGAATGGGGAAGGTGCAGATGTCATCATGGACAGGGAGGGGGTGGGGTAGGGGAGTGGGGGGTTAATTGTTTAACAACAAGGGAGAATGAGATGTTCAGTGCCAAACTGGGTTCCAGTAGGAACTGTTGAGTGTTCATCAGGGCATCTAATGCAACTAACACCTGTTTCCACTGGTATGAGGAACAGACATTGTCATATTCAGCCTGTTGTGAAACTGATACTGCCAAAACAGATATAGCTCATCTACGTCAGTAGGTATTTGTTTGTTGACATGGTTTTCAACAAGCCCAATTTGGGTTTAAGTAAGCACAATCAACATTTAGTCTGAAGAGATGTATATTATGATTTTAATTGACATTTTGAGTAACGAAGATTGTGCAGGAGTTGTTAGTGTCAAGCATTCCAAAAAGGGATGATTATGTTTCTGCTGCACCAAGTTGTGTTCTGTCAATGGCAATGTACATACAAGAGGTAAAGGTTGTTTCAACAGGGTTTAGATAAAACGGTGACCACACATGCAGAAAGTGAATCTTATCTCACCTGTTGTTATTGTCCAGTGTTACATCATGTGCTGGGTGTTCCTGATGGCTTCACACCTGCAACACGGTGTCCAGTCCATTCTGTCCATACTCTCACCTTGCCATTGTCACAACCAACGGATGGCCCACTGTCAAGCAGTCCTCCACACACTGACACCTCAACTGTGTCCAGTCCAAGTGAAACTGTTGACTGTATTTCCTGTTCCTTCTTCCCAGCGGTCCACAGTGTAGAGTTGCACCTCCATGCGGGATGGGGTGGTGTGTGAGAGACAGTGATGACAGCCACCGGATAAGGCCTGTCTGTCTGTGTGTCTGGCAGGACATTCCTGGCCACTGTGCATGTCAGAGTGTGTTAGTGAGAGGCAGGCTGGACATGCCAGGTAGCTCAAGTTGATGACTGGCAGAAACTTGATACTCTTCCAGAGGTGTTCCACCAATCTGCGGCCTTCTCCCCTCCCTCTCTACCTCAATATGGTAGGAGACCTTGAGAGGTGACAGGTCACTGCCTTCATCTGTGAGTACTGCAGCTCAGTCTTAGTAGCGAGTGTGTCATCCAGCAAGGGTCCTCTGACTTCACAGTCGGGGTATAAAGGTGGTCGTTTCCCTTGGAACTTCGCAGTCTCCACTAGAGTCCTCATTTCAAGGTAATCATCGACTTTCTTTCATTTGGAGTATGTTTCGGTTCAGTTCTGGAATTACTCAAGATATTGTTTTTGTGTGTGTGTTTAGAATTCTGTAATGTGGATATTTAGATATTCAAGTTTGTTTCAATATTTCCTTTCAAGTCTGTGGCTGTTGTGTGGTTTCACATGTATCTTAAGCATCGATCCAAGTGACTTTCACTTGTTGACTTCTATGAAGTGGATTTTAATTGGCTACAGGTGTAATGCTTGTAACTGTCAAGAATCTTACTTTTCAATGCATTAAGAGGGAGAAGTTTCTCTCTTAACTGTTGGTTAATGCAGACCTCAAAAGCTTTTCTCTGGATATCTGCCAAGGTGGGTCGAGTATGCTGCCGATGTATGCAGAGACTGTTTTTGCACCTATGTGTGGCAGGATTTATGACTTTCTCTCGGCGTCATTGACGGCAGTGTTTCAAGAACCTTCTTATCTCTGGAGAACAACCTTGTATCTGCCACCTTTCAAAACATTTCCAAGCTGTATGTCTATTACATTCATAGTCTACCATGTTCACACATTTTGAATTTAGAGGTAAAATATAAACATCTAGATTAGAGGGAATTAGTCCGTCTGTTAGGAGTGTGTATGGAGCAAGACTTGGTTTTTGTTCAGATTATGTGTGTGTGTTAATTGACCGGGCAGCTTCTGGGCAGCTTCTGGTCATGCTGGTCTGTGCTGGTCAGTGCTGGTCTGTGCTGGTCAGTGCTGGTCAGTGCTGGTCTGCATGCGTGGTGGGAGGTCAGGGGGCAGGGATGCTACCCACTCCCTACATCATGCTGGAAATAGAGCTAGGTCATGTGACCGCTAGACAGGACATTTCTCCTTCACAAGTGTTCCTCTTCCTGACATTTTAGAACATTTGGCACCATGGGCAGGGGAATTACCATGGCAACACATGCATCAGTACTCTGTGCATCTTTGTTTTCTCTACATAAATGAAGTGAAGGTTAGAATGCAGGCTATGTACAGCACTGTGCCGTTCAAACACAACCTTCTTGAAAAGTCACACATGCTTTCAAAATCAACAGAACAGATCTTATAAGTAGAAAAAAAGATGCTATAAATATAGAAAGTGTCTGTTTTTGTGTTATAGTGGTTATATACTTGGGTCTTGCTAATATGATTGAGTTTTTGCATGTCTAGCTGAGGCACAGTGAAAGGTGACTGTTCTTTATAACATGTATCTGATTCTGTTTATCCATGTCATAATATATTTGTAAATTAGTGGAAAATCTGCTTGTGTGGATTGTACTTATGACTTATTGCCAGTATTGTCATATGTGGATGGTACATCTGACTATATTGCCAGTATTTTCATGTGTGGATGGCACCTCTGACTATATTGCCAGTATTGTCATATGTTGATGGTACATCTGACTATATTGCCAGTATTTTCATGTGTGGATGGCACCTCTGACTATATTGCCAGTATTTTCATGTGTGGATGGTCCATCTGACTATATTGCCAGTATTTTCATGTGTGGATGGTCCATCTGACTATATTGCCAGTATTTTCATGTGTGGATGGCACCTCTGACTATATTGCCAGTATTTTCATGTGTGGATGGTCCATCTGACTATATTGCCAGTATTTTCATGTGTGGATGGCACCTCTGACTATATTGCCAGTATTTTCATGTGTGGATGGCACCTCTGACTATATTGCCAGTATTTTCATGTGTGGATGGTCCATCTGACTATATTGCCAGTATTTTCATGTGTGGATGGCACCTATGACTATATTGCCAGTATTTTCATGTGTGGATGGTCCATCTGACTATATTGCCAGTATTTTCATGTGTGGATGGCACCTCTGACTATATTGCCAGTATTTTCATGTGTGGATGGTCCATCTGACTATATTGCCAGTATTTTCATGTGTGGATGGCACCTCTGACTATATTGCCAGTATTTTTATGTGTGGATGGCACCTCTGACTATATTGCCAGTATTTTCATGTGTGGATGGCACCTCTGACTATATTGTCAGTATTTTTATGTGTGGATGGCACATTTGGCTCTATTGCCAGTACTTACCATGTTCAGTCTGTCACATGTGAATGGTACTTGCTTGCACTTACCTTCATGTGGTAGACTGACATTTAATCCCAGAAATAAATGTAAAAATATATATCTTCAAACTAAAAAATCCAAAATCCAAATGGAACTCAGAACAATCGTTAATTTCAGGCTGAGGCAATCTAGACTTGCCAAATCATTCTAGACTTGGACTTGGACTCCTTTTTTAATTTATTTTCTCTGGGGTCTGGGGGACAGACTTCTTCATGTGCTTGTCATGGTCAGTTGTAGTTTGACCGACACTGCCATGACTGTATGTTGCCCAGGTGTGTCTGGGTGTTGCCTGCCTCAGCTGCCCCAGATGGAGAGTCTCAAGGCCACGCATGGCCCCATCTCCCTACAGTACACAGTGACAAGTCTGTCAGACCTACTCCAGTAGATGTAGGAGGGTGTGCATGACAGCAGCTGAAACCCAACACTCTGTACCCATGCCATGGCAGTCACTGCAGACTCCTGGCAGGGCACATGACCAAACAAGTACTGCTGCTCTGACACTGTCACTTACACATGTACACCAAGAAGTTCACAGGAGAGTAATTCATTATACAGGCACTGATTGATCATGCACAGTTAAAGGAGGCGAGGAGATGCTAATTATGTTTGTGTATCATTAGGAAACTAAGTGCTTTAACCCACATATTTAAATTAACAAGCATACACTTGCAGGATACATTTTAGTAGATTTCACTTTCTGAACAAAACAGTTTAAAACATGCCCACTTTTTCATTTTATGAATCCCTTGACAAAACAGGTGTTTATCAGTGGCATCAAGCCATGCAACACCTGATCAACAGGAGAGATTATTTTTTTGCTGAAAGAGACTGATTATTTGTTGCTTTATAGTATCTGGCAAGGAGTGTAGGGAAATGTCACAGGTTGTGGAGATTTTTTACAAGTGTTAATCAGTGATGTATCTAGTTTTGGTGTACTTCAAAGACATAATATCTAGAAGTTGCTAGGTGAAGCAGGGCTGGCTGGCATGCGGTGCCACAACACATAGGTAGGCTGGTACAGGCAGCAGCACCTCTAAGAATAGGTACTCTAATCTGGAATGTCTGGTAACCATGGTAACATAGTGAAGACGTCTAGAAGTATCATTGGGTGTACCACACAGTTCCTGTTCTAGGCAATACCTCATTAGATCCTCATGGTAATAAGCGATCCTGCCTCATGACATTTGGGTAAACAAGCACACGTACAGAAGATGACTTGAATATCTCACAAATCTGGGGTTGCAGGTTTTTCTGTGCAGACGCTTCAAATGAACACACATGTAACAATTTATACACAATACGCATGAACCATGTATCCTGGCTGTAGATAACATTTTATTATTGTCGTACAACATGTCAAACATAATGACTGTTAATATGTCCATAACAATTTCCAATCCTGATCCAAGAATGATATGTATGAAACAGGAAATGAACAATGTCCACACATGTTATCAGTGTTTAGAGGATGTTGCAGCTGCTGCTCTGGATATGCTACCCATAACAATTCCAATCCCAAAATACTCAATTTGAAATCTACGTTAAACTTTAAGAACTTTTTCAAACTATTTTTGCATGAAACAAAATGAAAGTAGAATTGTGTATTTTGCAATGTAATGACTTCCACAATCTCCCCTGGACCATATCCTGCAGCATGTTGCCCAGGACGGAGGAGGAGGCATGTGTAGCTGACACTGTGACTGTCCTGTGTGTCCTGGTGTAGCTCACCCAGGCTGTTGTGTGTTCTTGTCTAGAGTTGGCACCACACAGTAGGCACTTGTGTACGTCATGTTCTACACTTCACCTTCAGTTCACAACTGTTTAAATGAATTTATTTTCTTTCACTATTGAAACCTTGATTCTTATGCATGTAGTTAATTGCATGAATGTAACTTCCACTCATTTTTCACACCAAATCCATGCATATTCTCCAATGGTAAATTCAGGAAAATTAGGAACAGATGAATGGCACCAGGTGTACTTTCAGCTGACACCACCTTGAAACTGTAGCATAGAAAATGTATGGATTTGGTTGGTATGACAAATCAAATCAGCATTTATAATTGTCCACTTATGTGTTAATGGACAAGCATGCTTATCAAACATAAAGTTCATAAAGAATAAAATTGTTTGACCCTGAAAGGTCATACCTACCCCTGTCATTGGTCATCATGGAAAGACTTCCAGGTGATCCGACACCCTCTCCTAACCTGTTGTTTGAGAGTTTTTCAGAGTGTGTTCCCTTTTTGTGCCTTCCCGGTTTGATCTCCTAACTCTGTCCGATTCCCTTAACGTAGAGCAGCGGCAAGCGAAGTTAGCGCTGTCAACGGCGAGGATGATCTTGAACGTCGACGTCGCGAGCGAAGAGAGGCTCGTCTAAGGCAAGATAACATGTAACCAAAATATAATCACCATGGGAATTGGCATATGTATCTGCTATGTTGCAATCAGCACAACATGCAACTCTCTTGGATATCACAGATATGAGGCATCATTATGTCAGGAACTATCAGGTTTTTGCATATGTCACATACTTGATTAACCAGTGAATGGTAGACAGCTGCATTGCTTTGAAAGTAAATGTTAATGATATCAATATAATATTGAGGCAGTGACTTTGATATTAGGTATTGCTTTTTAGCAGATTAGTTTAGTTCTGCTTTAGCACTTGAAGAATGATGTAGAGCATGGTGTGCTTCATCATGATCACTGACAGCTTCGTCCAGCAGCAGAGGCAGCCTCCCTGGGGCAGGAAGGTGGTGTCACTTTCCAGTGGTCTCCCTTATACTTCCTGGAGAACTTTTCAACTTTGACAGCTACTTTTTGTTTTTAAGCCATAATTGGTCTGCTACATCAGCAGTTGAATCACCTAATTAATTATGATGAAGTTATGGGGAGATGAGGGGAGATGGTTTCTTGCAGGTACATGTGGAGCACAGAGTTCATGATTAATGAGTGGCTTGGGATGTGAATTGATGCTTGTCTACATGTCATAGGAAATGAGTGCAACTGGCAAATAGCAATGCCCATGACTGTCTCGGAATTTGTTACTGAAGATTGTTCCTTATTTGATAGTCATCAAAATTGCAACCACATTACACAGTGGATATAAATGAGCATTTTTCATCCTGTCTGATTTATTATAAGTTAACTTCTCAAAGTGTTCAAATAGCAATATCAATACTGTTGGATAATGTTTCAACGTCCTTACTGATTGGAACTTTCTTGCATCAGTATTAGTTTACTAGACTAGAACTGTTTGTTCATGTGAACATTTCCGTCACCAGACAGGCTGCCGAGCCCCAGGAGGAGGAGAGATCATCTCGTAGATCCCGCAGACAAGAGGAGGAAACCCCCGCTGAGGTAAGTCACATCACCTCAGCAGCATCCTGGTCTATACTGCATTCAATCTATTATTGTTACTGTTATTGCATTGCACATATTTTACCTGAATGTAACATTTTAAATACTTCCTCTTTTCTGGAAAAAAATGAAAATATATCATTTTGGTTTAACAATTGTATTTCTATTACTGGCTATTGCTTATCAAAGTGTGCATAACTGATGACTTTAGCCGCATCAGCAGTTTTCGTGCCGTTTGTGGCAAGCATCTTTATGAAGCATGGGGACAAACATGGACTGCATATTTATCTACTGTTATCTATATTGAGTGACTTTCGGTTGTTTTTATGCATTCTTGTGTTGACACAAGATGTTTTGATGATAGATAGTAAGCATACAATGAATTTGTTGATTTGAGTGATATGGAAACATTATTGCAAAATATATTTAAAGCTTTGTTGATTGTTCTACACATTTATCTGTTTTTGAATGTTTTGTATGTTCAACACTGATTTTGAGTTTTCACTCCGTCCAGTTATTTTGTTTATGATTTTCTCCTCTTCTGGTTGAGTTTTACAATTTTTGTGCATTAAAACTGTGTGCTGTGATCTGCTTAAAACCATCCTAGTGATGATCATCTCATCCAATAAGGCAGTATGTCTACTCCATGGAAGGAGTCTCTCTAGCGATATTGATATGGTGTGTGTGATGCTCACCATGTTTCAGGAAACCTCAAGCTATAGATCGCGTAGGCGACGAGGCCAAGAGGAGGAGGTAAAATAGTCCCACATAGTTCCAGCATATGTGTTCTTGCTGTTGTATCCGTCACTGGTGGCAGTCGGTGTGCATCACTATATTTAGCACTGATAGCTGTAAAGATAGGAATGTGTATCACTCACTCCAGCCCAGGCCATATTCTGCTCTACAGCCATATATCCTGCCTTCATTAACCTACACGACAATACAACCAGTATTTCATGTCACCTTTACCAGTTCTATGTAAAGAATGTTAGACAATGTCTTTATTGATGAAGGTGATGAAAGGGCAAGAAGGGCCCTGTTAATTAAGAAGTTAATCCATAAAAGGTTTCATGTGAAGTTTTTCTGGATAAGCTGTTATATAAACATATTTATAACAGTGAAGGTGATATGAACTACTTCCTAGATTCAGAAGCATAGGATCTCGGTGTACATACCGCTGTATGCATTGTAAGCAAGCTTGCATTGTTTTCTGGAAAATTTCTGTTCAGGTTAACTATTAAAATGTAACTTGAAATTCACTTCTTATTTTTATCAAACCCTGTACCAATGTTTCTTCAGAAAAGATATTCTTTGTATGTTGAAATAAATTATCCAGAAAATAATTGGGTATTTGAATAAATAACATGTACATAATAATACTTAGTAGATAGATCATGATAACCCATTGATAATAAAGTTTGGCCTGCTTCTTGTTTATCTATCCAAACCAAACCAAAAAATCCATTTAGGTTCAAACTTGAACCAAGATGTTCCTGTCTTCTGACAACATATCCACTGCCCCATGCCTTCTCTCTGTAGTATATACAGTGTTACAACATATCCACTGCCCCATGCCTTCTCTCTGTAGTATATACAGTGTTTCAACATATCCACTGTCCCATGCCTTCTCTCTGTAGTATATACAGTGTTACAACATATCCACTGTCCCATGCCTTCTCTCTGTAGTATATACAGTGTTACAACATATCCACTGTCCCATGCCTTCTCTCTGTAGTATATACAGTGTTACAACATATCCACTGCCCCATGCCTTCTCCCTGTGGTATATACAGTGTTACAACATATCCACTGTCCCATGCCTTCTCTCTGTGGTATATACAGTGTTACAACATATCCACTGCCCCATGCCTTCTCCCTGTGGTATATACAGTGTTACAACATATCCACTGTCCCATGCCTTCTCTCTGTGGTATATACAGTGTTACAACATATCCACTGTCCCATGCCTTCTCTCTGTAGTATATACAGTGTTACAACATATCCACTGTCCCATGCCTTCTCTCTGTAGTATATACAGTGTTACAACATATCCACTGCCCCATGCCTTCTCTCTGTGGTATATACAGTGTTACAACATATCCACTGTCCCATGCCTTCTCTCTGTAGTATAGACAGTGTTACAACATATCCACTGTCCCATGCCTTCTCTCTGTAGTATATACAGTGTTACAACATATCCACTGCCCCATGCCTTCTCTCTGTGGTATATACAGTGTTACAACATATCCACTGCCCCATGCCTTCTCTCTGTTGTATATACAGTGTTACAACATATCCACTGCCCCATGCCTTCTCTCTGTAGTATATACAGTGTTACAGCATATCCACTGCCCCATGCCTTCTCTCTGTAGTATATACAGTGTTACAACATATCCACTGCCCCATGCCTTCTCTCTGTAGTATATACAGTGTTACAACATATCCACTGTCCCATGCCTTCTCTCTGTGGAATATACAGTGTTACAACATATCCACCGCCCCATGTCTTCTCTCTGTAGTATATACAGTGTTACAACATATCCACTGCCCCATGCCTTCTCTCTGTGGAATATACAGTGTTACAACATATCCACTGCCCCATGTCTTCTCTCTGTGGTATATACAGTGTTACAACATATCCACTGCCCCATGCCTTCTCTCTGTAGTATATACAGTGTTACAACATATCCACTGTCCCATGCCTTCTCTCTGTAGTATATACAGTGTTACAACATATCCACTGTCCCATGCCTTCTCTCTGTAGTATATACAGTGTTACAACATATCCACTGCCCCATGCCTTCTCTCTGTTGTATATACAGTGTTACAACGTCATCAACACTGTCCCCTCTCTGTCCACGCTTTAGTACATGCAGTGTTGCAGCATAGCCATATCATATCATCATGATCATACTTGCATTTGCATGCCTTTCCAACACTTTCTCAGCTCTGAGAAAAACAATGCTGAATGTATGAATGAAGTTACGTTTCGCATCTGTTGTATATACAATGCATTTTCTATAGCATCAGTCTGGCATTATTGTATTCAAACGTCCCCTTTTTCAACGCGAGTGTTTAAGATTAAAAGGATGATATTTTAATCGTTAACTATTTTTTAGATATAGATTTGGATAAGTATTTCTGTATTTTCCAAGTGGCTAATGGTGTTATAAGCTTACAACTGTACCTACAGTACACGTATATAGAGTCCTGCTTTCCCTGTCATTATGGAGTGTACTTTGATTTGTTCAGGAGGAAACCCCTGCTCCCGCAGCCGAGGAGCCTCAGGTTTGTTAAGTGTCTAGTGCAGCACTCTGGAGGTTATCACTGTGTTCAGCACTGTAGTGTAGCCCCGCACAGATGCCCCTAGACCAATAGACATAGCTGTAGCTGTCCAGTAGATGTCCTTGGATCATGTAGATGGGTCACATCAGATGGTACCACTTTTTACTTTCAAAATTTCATTGCTTCAAAATTTTGCAATATTTAGTGATTTCTTTCTCTAATTTCAATGAATGTAGGAACATTTTGGTTTTCCCAGATGCTATATCTTTAAATGGTATTTAGTAGGTGTGGCATCAATGAAGACAGGATTAGCTAATTGAGTTATGGATATCAACTTGTTATGTTCTTCCAATGCACCATTCTCTCCATGAAAGAATATAAGAAGTCAAGATTCATAAGTCAATCCTGTCTTCCTGTTGTTATATTATATTTTATGACTATTTCCTTTTTCCTACTGACTTGAAAGTAAATAGTTTTTGTCCACACCATCGTGTATACTCCCCATTCCCATTAGAAGTGTGCTGTGTCTCCCTCTCCAAGTGTGCCTGCTGGGCACAGCTACATCCTGGACGACGGGATCTTCCTCCTGTTACAGAGTCTTCTCTGTGGTGTAGATAGTGGTATATGTCCTGGACGACGGGATCTTCCTTCTGTTACAGAGTCTTCTCTGTGGTGTAGATAGTGGTATATGTCCTGGACGACGGGATCTTCCTTCTGTCACAGAGTCTTCTCTGTGGTGTAGATAGTGGTATGTGTCCTGAGGAATATTTATATCATAGGAAGGTGCTTGGTAGTTTGAGGGTTTGCATTTGTCTCTGAAAAGACAGAAGTTCAGATTACTCATCTGTATTTTTTGTGTCTGTCTTCGTACATCACAGAAACATCATCTTTGGTCACTAAGCCAATCACAAGTATGAGAGGTCAACTAATATTCCCGTTTTATTCAGTATTTTCATTTCTCTTATCCCAGCATGTGTCTGATTTCGCTAAACTTTCCTCGATATTTTGTTTCATCAGGCCCCAGTGTGATATTCCAGTAATGTTAGTAATCAACCTTAGTATGTTCAGATACACATTTGGAGATGTATGTATTCATAAATAATATTTGAATTTGAAACCTGAATCAATGTGATTAAATGCTACAAACATACATCTTCAAATCCACCACACAAAGGTAAGTAATGTATCTGCAACATGATCACATCCTTTTTGTGTAACACCCCCCCCCCCCCCGCCCCCCCCCCCCCAGCTGTTCCTCAGAGTTATCTCCCCTGACTCCTCAACATGCTGCTTCATCATGTGTTTGTCATGGTGCAGGACACTTCTAGCAGCCAGGCAGAAGAAGACGACAGTGCTGCACAAGCCGCCAGGGAAGCCGCCAGGGAAGAAGCAGAACGTCGTCGCAAAGAGCAGGCAGCAGAAGAGGAGAGAGAGGCGGAAGAGGCTGAGAAACGCCGTGAGCAAGAGGCCGCTCGCAAACGTGAGGAGGAAAAACGCAGACAGAAAGAGGAGGAAGAAGAACAAAGGAGACAAGTACGTTAAGTTAACTTAGAATGGGAGACAACAGATCAGTTCAGAGGGCATGTGGTCAAAACAATATAATCTTTTCTAATTGTCTTTGATGTAGTGTGACTAAAACAATTTTCTTTTTTCTCTCATCACTTGGTTAGAAGAAGGTTAAGACGCATGAAGGTGGGGACACCAAAAAATGGGCTCAGTACATTTTACCCATGTCGTGAATTGAACACTGGGTGTTTGGCATGATGAGTCCCTGCCACCCATCTGCCCTACCTCATTGCCAGATTGTGATGAGAGATTAGTGTAGAGTATTTAAAGTACAATCTGAACTTTGATGAGAAACAAGAATTACTTTACATCTGGCCTCATAGTGTTCTTTTTTCTCGAAACAAAGATCCAGTAGATATTGAAGACTTGCCCTCTGAACAAACATGCTAAAGTGTAATGATATAGATAGACATACCTCAGGTCAGTAGGGCATAAGGTAGGAGAAGTCTTCCTTGTATCAGGACTTTAAGGTAAGTGATGCATGCTGGGTGATCATGTAGTTGTGTGGACTTTCTCAGAAGTTAGAAACTTTAGATGTGAGAAAAGACTACATCTGGCATGTTGAAGATGTGAAAGTAGCTTCATAGATAAAGACGTCTTATGCATGATATAAGCATCCTACTTGGATGGTTTATGTTGGGTGTACTCTATCTGAAGTAATATTTTTGTAGTATTGTGCATGATTTATATAAAGCATGTTGCATGTGTTTTTCTTTTGCATGTTCCCTGCTTTGTTCAGCTGGGTGAAGATGATGTTGGGAACAGCTGCACAGATGATCTGCATGAACCACTACATGATTCCCCCAAACAGCCTAAGTTAGCTGATCTTGGTAGATGGCAGACGACATGCCTTGATTTGAGTGAAATATCTGAGAAAGATGAGAGCTACAGTTTGTCCTTTGAAGATGAAGACACTTGTGAGGAAGAGGTGGTGGAAGAGGTTGTGGAAGAGCTAGATGAAGAAGTGGAGGAGGAGAAAGGTTTTGAAGAACAGTGTAATGAAATGTTCTCCCCCAGAGCAGGACTGATGGTGGATGATGGTGGAGCTGTGATGACACAGCAGTATGTGGAGGACGAGCATGAGAGAAGGGATAAGAATGACGAGGAGGAGGGGGATGGAGGTGGTGGGGATATGTCATTTGGAAATGGTGGCATTATTCCTCATGACACTGTTCATTTGACAGATGGCACAGAATTTGAGAGAGAACTAGATGATGCACATACTAGAAATTTCCAAGTTGAGAGTATTTGTGATGATCCTAAAGAAGTATTCAGTAGTGAACATCTGATAGATGAAAATATGTCTGTCACATACTGCGTTGAACAGAATCACAAATTGCAGACAGATACTGTTCCCTTTAATTGGTCTATTCTAGAAAATGCAAAGTCAGCTAGTTTGTCAGGCACTTACACTCTTGAAAGCAGTTTGAATCAAAGAGACTCAGGCGATGTACACATTGCAGGTTTTAATGGTGATAATATGAAGGATCGCTGGGGTAAACTGGATGTCTCTCCAGATGCCAGCCTGGATGCAGCATCTACAGACCGTCACTTGGACTGGACCAGTGAAGATTACCTCAGTGACACTTCCTCATCAGAGTCTAGGGAGATGCAAGGACTCATGGATGAATATGAGAAACTTGTTAAAGAAGAATCTGAGGAAGAACTGTACACAGACTTGAAAACTGAACTTGCTGAAGCTATTGCTAATGATGATATCCTGGGTGGCGATGGAGTCAAGGATGGGCTTGAGATGAACAGCAGTCAACATTCTGATGACATTCAGCAGCAGTTTGCATTTGATGGCAACTTTGATGGGGAGAGAGAATCTTGTCAGTCTCACAACAGCTCCTATAGAGACTATTGCATCAGTGTATTTGATAGCTCAGCTGAATATGACAGGTCCCCTGTGCAAGTTGAATCCCCAAGGACCTTGAAGTCAGAAGGTGAAGAGAACAGTGAGTGTTTGTTGACTATACCACGACTCACACTGCCTAGTGATCTGGGAGCCAGTTCTACGCTCACCTCATCTGAGAGAAAAGAAATAACAGATGAACAAAATGACACTGAAAGTGCAAAGTTTGCTTCTTCTTGCTCTATACTTTCTGAAACAGATAATAAGAGTGAACATGATGCCCTTAAACATTTAGTGTCAGATGCAGTCAGAAGTTTCATAGATGATGCATCCAATCAGCAGGATACTGGCAATGGGTATCTCCCACACGTGACCAGTCCCCCTCTGGGTGGGCATGATGATGTCTTCCACTGTCAGGACATCATCTATCCTAGTTCCCCTCAACAAGCGATTCATGTGGGAGATATGGGAGACTTCCAAGGTATTGATGAATTACCAGTCCCAACAGAAGAGCATGTAATCTTTGCACCTGAATTTGATGAAGATATTTTGCCGAGGGTTGCTGATGAAGAACTTGAGAATGCAGAGCTTGGAGAGGATGTACTTTTCTTCATACCTGGCACAATGGAATCTATTGATGAAGCCTCGAGTCATGATATACATGAAGCAAGGGACCAACATTACTCCATCAGTTCAGAGGAGCAATTGATACAGGAGGCTACAAGTGAGGATCAAGCAACACCCCAGGAACTTGATCAAGAAAATCATGCAAATCCAGAATGTCTGAAAGGTGTGGTGAAGCAAGGGTGTCTGCTGTCAAAAGAGTTCAACATGTTCTACATGGGCGAGGAAGGAAGTATCAACAATAACAGTGACAAGGAGCCAGATGTAAATGAATGCCAAGCAAATGAGGACATCACAATGACTCCTGTATACCATAGGACAGACATGCAAGAAATGAACCACACTGGATTAGCAGACAGCTTTGGTAGCAGCAGCAGATTCTGTGATAGGGCCCAGGCTAAGACAAAATCACAGCCCTTGTCTTTTCAATCTGTTTTATTAGAAATTAGTCAGAGAGGTAAAAAGATGAAAGACAACATTACTTATGGCCTGAAAGAACATCCAGAATCAGAATATGGCAATAACAATAAACCAACAATGACATCAAGCTCACATGAGAAACCCAGTGTGGTCTCAAACATTTTGCCACAGTCAAAAGAAGTTTCAAAGACAGATCCAGCCCAGCAGAAATTTGATGTGTCACCAAGATTAAGTTCACCTAAAAACGAGACAGGCAAGAATATTCTTAAAGGATCAGCATCTTCTTTCCTTGGTAACTTTGTAAAACAGATCAGCAAAGTGGAAGATACATCTCTTGAGTTCCCAAGAAGTACTTTGTCTGACCATGGGAATGGTCCTAAGACTGGACAAGCTACTGTGTCAGGTCTGAAGAAGATGGGGAGTAAATCATCATTTGAGGCCTGCAGCAGTGATGAGGCAAAGATAGAATCTATCATGAGCAGCATGTCTACAATTCCTCCTGTACTGAGTTCATGGAAGGCAAAGTGTGCTGCTGCAGCAGCTTTGGCAGAAAAGGAAGATCAGGATGTGGTTGCCCATAAGAATCCAGTCATTACCCAGGCATTTGGTCAAGTTGTCTCACAGCTTAAGGAACATAAGGATACCACTCACAAGAAGAGAAAGGTTTACAGTAAAAGGCAAGAAGAGTTATGTGTCAGTCAACTGACTGAACACTTTGCTCAGGTAAAGGTCATGGGTAAGCCTGGAATTAGGGTGCATGAATCACAGGAACAGCAGTTTAGTAGGGATCAAACTGGTATTCAAGTCCTCATCAATGACGAGGATGCTGAAACATCCAAATTTGTATTAGAGTTACAAGAATTAGCAAACATGCAAATTGTGTCAGGACACAACATAGAAGATGTTTCCATCAGGCCAAATGCCCCAAGGAAAATGTTGGAATCATTTTTCACAAATCTTGTTGCAAATCAGGGAAAGGAATCTAAACAAGTAAAGACTATTGAAAGTGTGAAAAAACAAGTGCCTGTTATGAAGACAGAAGAGAAAGAAACAACAGAAAGACATCGGTCTGTGGCTGAAAGAGTGTCAATGTTCCAGACTGTTGTCTCAAGTAATCAGAAGAGCGACACCAATAGCAAGTTAACAGGTACTTCATCAATTAAGCAGAGCTTATCAAACCTCTTGAATGATCTGAAAAGTAAAGGCAAGACAGTAACCCCCGAACCCAAATGTATGACAGTAACCAAGGAACAGGCAACTGATGGATACCAGGAACCAAAATCTAATTTCCTTCGTCAAAGACGTCTCAGTCTAATGAAAAAGGAGAATGAGGCTGAAATTGAATCTGCTGATGTGAAAGATTCAAGTACAACAAGCGAAATAGAACAGAAACTTGCTAATCTGCTGAGCAGCATGACAAATTCCCCACGTAGGACAAGTGAGGCAAATGTACATCCAATACAAAGCTCAACCCAGAATTCTGGTGTCGCTGAAAAGAGTGATGCTGCTGAGACCACAACAGAAAGTCCAAGGACTTTCTTTGAAAATTTCCTGAAGCAAAGACCTTCAAAAACAAAGAATGAGGCAACAAGTGTTGTGCCTTCTGACAACTCACTGACACAGAAAACTGAAGTATGGACAACAAAGCCAAACCTCAGTTTATGTTCCCAATATACTTCTAAGAAATCTGTCACACTGAAACCTCAGGGATTGCAAGATGATGGGAGAGAGACATTCTGTAAAGAACAGACAAAAGCTGTTAACAGAGTGTCCAAGACATTTCCACCTCATTTGACAGAAACAGTTATTACACAGGCCAAGTGCCAGGTTAATGCACTGCCAATAGCATCAATGCGCAGTACCAAGTGTGTGCCAGACAGGTCAGCTAATACACATAGTGATCAGACACACAGAATTGAGCAGGCTCTCACACCTCAATCAGTAAATGTAAAACCCTTAAAATTCAAGCAAACTGATGTTTGTGATGGTAAAAAAGTTAATAGGATTGTAGTACAAGAACAAGAGCCATCTACCACAGACTTTGATTCCTCACCCTCCATCCCACAAACCTCATCTCATCTTGGTCCCATTCCTCAAATCTCCTCATATCTTAAAGTCAAGTCATTTGAAATGCTAGCTCAAAGTTTTGACGAGGAGATTGGAAATATATCGTTCTCAGAGGACAACGGTGACCTTCACTTAAACCTATCAGATCTCAACGAACCTTGCTGTGCTCAAAGCACACCACGAAACCGCCAATTCTTTAGGAACAGCAGTACTTTCTTCAATCTGACACCCAGATCAGATGGGGAAGATGGGACAGAGTTCAACTCGCCGAGGATCTCAAACATTGTTCCAAAGGCATGGGGCCCAGATGGAGCAAGGGAAATTACTGTGACAGTTAAACCTAGTCCACCATGCACAGATGTGTTGATGAACGTGAGTAAAATCAGGGCCAACAGTGGTCATAGCATTGTCTGGAAGAGAGTAACTGAAAGTATTCACATCTTGACCTTTAATTAGAATACAAATAAAATCAACAAATCTTCATAATCATAAGAAATCTCTTCTAAAAGCAGAGTCAAATGTATGATTCCAACTAAATCAGGAGCATGTTTTTATGAATCATTATTCAAAAGTGATGACACCAGGTGTTGGTGTAATCCTGCCATACCGGTGGCACCCATCAGAAACAAATGTCAATCTGAAAGACACATGGAAACATATGGTACAAGTCAAAATAGGGCATAGCATTGGACATATTTTTTGTCACTGATGTCAGTTGGAATTGTCCTCAACCATCTACCATAACGCTTTTGAAAGCTTTACTCGGGCATTGAATGTTGTAACCCTGATAGAAAAAGAAACGTCTTTGTAGCTTCCAGTTATATAGTAATGATTAAGTCTGTTTTTTTGTATTTCAAAACACTGAAACATGCACTGCCAACATTTCAGCTTTCACCCAGGTCATACAGAACCTCTGACCAAGACTCCCAGGATGACTCCCCAAGAGAAAAAAAACATCAGACAAGGCATGCCAGACGTCCAAGAAAACCAGTAGTTACAACCATTAGAAGCAAGTTTGAGAATGAGGTAGATAAGGTGCCAGAGGAGAAGCCTGAGCCTGGCGTGAAGTCTGGACACAGGCAATATGATACATGGTCAGGGAAAGCTCCATCCTTGAGGGAACTGGTAATGGAGGCTGATGAAGAAGAGCAGAAACCCAAGCTCAGGAACCAACTAAATGGTGATACAAAGTCATGGCAGAGGGAGTTACAGACCCAGCTGAACATGCGGAATTGTCGCTTGTCTGACCCAAGCTCCCCGAGAAGAAGTCAGAGTGAATCTAGAAGGAGCCAAAGGAGAGAGAGAATCATGAGTGCAGAGGTACCCTCCTTTAAGTCAACATGTGATGTTTCATCATCCAAGTCCTCATGGTTCAGCTCATCGGATGTCTCCAAAGGACAACAATTCAGCAGTCTTCCAAGAAAATGCTCATCTCCGAGCTGCTCTGTCAGCTCGTACAGCTTGAGTCAGGACAATGACGATATAGACTGGGCACAAAGATCCTCACAGTCTTCAAAAACCGAACTACAGTCACCTCATCAGGTGGGAAGTATGCCAGATTTATCTCCAACAGGGAGCTCTCAGCACCTGAACAGGCCAAGGGAAACAATCAGTGAGAGTTTCACTCGTACAACCAGTGTTCAGAATGTGTATTCTATGAGTCGACCTCAGTATGTGTCCTCCAAGAGTAGTTTATTTAGTCTCTCATCTAGGGGGAGTACCGACAGTTTGGTGCACAGAAATGTTAATTCTTCAATGAGAAAGTATTCTAGTAGTTCATCAGCAAGAGCCAGTCAGGACAGCCTACTTATGGATGAGTTTGAAGATGAACAGATACGGAAACAACAAAAGATTTCACCACCAAGAACAAGTCTTGAGAGTTTAGCTGAAGAAATTGATACAAATATGAGAGTTTCTAATACTGACAGTCCCAGGTATAAAACAAACTTTAATACAGTACCTCGGAACTTTAAGTCTAGGACGCCAGAAAAGGCTTTGTTTAAAAGTTCATCAGTAGATCAGAGGAAAGGAACACAAAAACTTCCAACTTCAAGTGTTGGTACATCAAATACAGGAATATCTGTACATGGTTCACATTACAAAAACTATGAGGTCTCATCAGAAGTAAAGGAACTCAGTAAAATGTCTTCTGGAGGTAACAAACAGGAGAAAACGCAACAAAACTTTCACCATATAAAGGACAGGTTCTCCAAAGATGAAGAAGATGGTCCGCTAAAACATTCAGAGAAGGTTTTGATACCAAGCAGAAAAAGTCTTCTGGATAAATTTGAGAGGTTGCAGAAGGAAATATCAGAGGATAACACAGCACAAAGTAAGTTGGAAGTCGATCGGTGTCTCAGGAGGACTTCTTCAGGGGAGCATTTGGCACAGGTTCAGAAGAAGTTGCTTGACCGCAGAGAGAGGAAGACTTTGCCTGAGAACAGGCCTCCTGCCATGACAAACACTAATAGATGTGCCTTGATCAGAGAAAAGTTTGAGAAACTGACAAAGGCCTTTGATTGTGATGAGTTTTCTAAAGTAGAGGACATGAAAAATAGGACAAGAGATAGACTGAGGAGACTTTCATCAGGACTTAATGTCTCTGATATCCAGAAGAAATTCTCAGCTGATAGCAGTGAGCCCCAGACATTTCAGAGGAGGACTGTGAGACCAGGTTCAAGGTCTGTGTCAGAGCTCTTTCTGCACTTCGAGAAGGGCAGAGATGAGAGCATGGAGAGACCACATTCCAGCATCACCAGAAGAAAGGAAGAACCGAAGAGATGGTCATCTGATGTACCAAGTTTTTACAGGAACCAGGGAAGCCATGACATGTCTAATAGTGACAGAGTTACAACTTCTTCAAGTGATGACCAGACTTCAGATGACATGGAAACAAATAATTCACATCAGACAAGTTATGACTGTTGCCTGGACAAGCGCGGCCACAGGTCCCAGCGATCTGCGGCCAACATGAACTTCAAGCAGCTGGCTGCTGTTGTGCGACACGCTGAGGACTCCGAGATCAACAAGCAGGCCATAAACTGAAACTAAGTTCTTTGTGCATGTGTTTGAACTATACACATTCAAGTCATTATGACAAATATGCAATTCTCAGATTGCTTTAATAACATTTATTTATTTTTCTAATGTTTTAATTGGATATTTTGTATGTGATATACCGCTAGTGTGTCTTCGCCTAGTTAAGGACATGGGTCATTCACAATCTCCATGTTAACAGTTTTGTTTTCATCCTCATTACCTGTTGGTTATTTAGTAGTATGTTGTATTGTTCTGTGATATTTTGCATTGTTTTGTATTATTGACAATATTTATTATGATATTTATTCAAAATAAACTTTTTTCTTTTAATTTGGCATTTTCTATTATCAATCCCCCCAAACTTCAGGATTTGAGAAACCTGTGGTATAACTGATGTTTTTTAGTAATGTTTAGATGAATAATAATGATCCTTATTACTGATAAAGAATATGGTAATGCTGACTACATGTTTCTCAATATCTTTGAATATATTTGGAAGAAGCAAATAAAAGTCCTTTCAATTTCTTTTGAGAGTAATGTAGCCTACCTTTCATAAGAGATGTAGCAGAACGGACCCACTGAAATTTCTTTCAACTGTTGTGCTTGTATAGGTAATTGTTTTTAAATCAAAGTTGTACATACCTGCCTTGTTGAGGGAGGTTTCAGTGTGTGGGACTTGCATGCCAGACTGCATGCCACTGCATGACATTGACTTCACCATAACAGGCTGGAATGACACAGAGCTCTCAGGTAAGTCCTCGCGGCAATTATATAACCAGTCTAACTATGAATGTAGAATACTCTATAGTCCATGTTTTATATCATATTTTATTTGTTAAATGATAGAATTGTTTCTCCATTGATATGACTTAGCTGACTGTCCTTGGAAAGGCAGGTGTATCTACTGACTGTACATCAATGGTGTTTGTATTTCAGGAGGAAAAGAGAATGGAAGAAGACAGACTAGAACGCGAAAGACAAGAGAAGGAGGAGGTAAGTGACAGCCTTTCACTTCTCATAACATTAATCAACACATCCTGTAAGCAATTGCTACATCACCTTCTGTAACAATGCTGGAAAAGTTTTCTCTCCTCATCCTTGTTGGATGTTAAAGTGTTCAGTCCTTTAGAACATATTTATATTTGTCTCATTTTCTGGTTTTTCGAGGCGTAGCAATTGCTTTTGATAGAGTGTTACATGTTTGAAAATTCTGAGAAAATGTTTTAAATATGTCTGATGTTTCATTTGGGTTCATTGATCAAACTGCTGAATTTTCTCAGAATTTCTCAAAATGCGTCTGTTTTTTTGTACACTCAATCTAATACTGTATGGTACATTGTCGCCTCCTTTTTAACAAAAATTAAACTTTGGTTTCTTTTTATAATTACATTCAATACTACCTTTCTTAATATTTAAATTTTTATATCCTCAATCTCCAAAATGTTTGTCCTCAAATGTTAACAATTATTGCTTAATAATTATATGTTATTAATTTTGTTTATCTTGTCCAATTTGTCCGTAATTTGAGGCAACAATGTCATCTTCACACATTCTGTCTCTGCCGAATCCTTCTTTGTTTGAAATAACAACTGGATTCACTTATCGTAGAAATGTCTAGCTCCATTTTCCATCGACATGGCTTGATATGGTCACAAGGTAACAAAGAGATGCTTTTGTTGGTAATAATGCCTTTTGATCAATAAACTACATGAACAAAATTTTAAAAGTGTTTAGTTCAAACCAATTTTGCCATGTTGCGTAGAGGGTTGCAGTCATTCTTCTACATCAGATTGTCCATACATTATCTCACGTGTTCTTCATATGTCCACCCATTACATCACTATGATCATGTTTATGTCATCATTTTCATACATTGTATCATTTCATTTCAGTTTCTTGTCATCATTTTCTGTGCCATTCATTGTCATTGGTTGGGATCACTGAATCACATTTCATACCATTTCAAGTCAAATACATGTACATTTCACAATCTTGCTAATACATTTCGATGCCCATGCTGTGTATGTTATTTACACTCAAAACAGTAGGAAGTAGTATGAAATTAACACCAGTGTTGAAATTAGGAATAGATTTAATTTGATAAATCAATCATATTATCAAATTCATATTTTAATAATTGATCTATTTTCAGGGCTCTGGACATGTTACATGTCAATGTTATGTTTTTATAGCTCACTTGATGCACCAATGTTAGTTAATGTAATCACATGATGCACCACAATTGCACGTGACAAATCAGCTGGGTGTAAAGTAAAAAACCAGCCTATCAGCTTAAAGTATATGATCAGCCTGTAGGAAGTTACTTGCGTGGCAGCTGAACCTATGGCAGCCATCCAGGTAGATTTGAATGTGTGTTTCAGCCATGTCTTCATTCACTGTACATCCCTGTAGCGTTACTCAGATCAGCCAGGAGATAGGATTCTTAGTCTTGCTTACACATACCTTAACTGAGTTTTGGATTAGTTGAAAAATGCATCTGCAAATTCATTTCTGAAATGTCCATCAATCCGTTCAAATCCTACTTTTTGATTTACTTCAAAATCTGTGTAGCTGATAGACGAATCTAAGAGTAATGTGTGCAGAATGAGGTAGAATACACCACAGGTATGTGTCTGTCTTCCTGTCAGAGCAGGCGTCAGTAGCTAAGATATTGATAACATTTTGAAGGTAATCTACACAGCCTGCTAGAGGCAATACATGGTGCGGGACAAAAACATGCTTTGAATTTCAGAGTTGTTGACATATGGTATCAATAAAAGCATGGAAATTGTGACTCGATGAGGGTATTTTCGTTGCAAGTGCGTCACTGGGATCATTTTCATAGTCAATTACTAAAAGATTTTTGGTTTTGACATTTTGGCTATTTTTGTGCAAGCCTCGCCCTGTGGACTCTTTCCTCTAGCAAGCTAGCCTAGTTACTCTGTCCATGTGCGCCTGTCACTTACACGTCACAATGGTAGTTTAGCTAGCTAATTCTACTAATACTTTGTGCAATAACCAAACTATAAACTCCTGTCTGTGATCCAACAGCAAGCTGTTGTCTAGCTTTGGCCCATAATGCATCCCCACCTCCAAAATCTCTCATCCATTTGTTCAACACCAATTAATTCTTTTTCAGACCATTATGTATCTTTTGTCTTTCTACATGCAACTGCCCACACTATAACTTCACCTGTGTATTCCCACTATATGTGCTTTCTTCTCAGTTGCAATCACCTCAGGGTGGGGCTTGGGGCTTCAAAAGTATCTAAATTCTGAAAAAAACTAATCTGTTCCCTCATCAGTGAAACATAAATACAGAAGGATAAGTGAACAAAACAGACGGTAGTGAGTAGGGTAGGCTGTACAACTTAGGCTACAAATGGCTGCATCAAGTAGGATGTGCTAGGTCTAGGTTTATTCAACACGAGGCTGGTGTAGGATGAATGACTGCTTACTCCATTATAAGGAGCTGCGGCTCCAGCGGCTCCATGCCGACTCCGAGCACACTTCTTCCTCCTCGCTCGCTCGCTCGCTCAGTCGCCGAGTGCTAACGTCCACCTGATTTCCCCCTAGGCCGCCCGCCGAAAGGAAGAAGAGGATAAGAAGAAGAAGGGAAAGAGGAAAGGTCTCGGGGGACTGTCACCCGAGAAGAAGAAGCTTCTCAAGGTACATTGAACCAGCCTCGTTAACCACAATTAATATTAATCATTAATTATTCACATATACTCCAGGTTCTCTACCTTCAAATGTGTTAGGCAGTTACTGTAACCCTTTAGCTTACCTAAACATAATACTTCTTGTACTAAAACGCTCGCAATTACAGGGCTGAGAAAGGGGTACTTTAACCGCAAATTAAAACTATTTGTTGAGGTGAAAGTGTGATTTTGCCTGGCACTGACTAAACATGGGTCTGTTTAAATAATGCCGAAACTAAGCATTGTTTAAGTCATCATGATGGTCCTGAGGGATGGATTGGGAAAAATATGTGAGTACAAACTTTTAGTTCAGCTCAAGTGCACTTAACATGCAAAACAAAAAATACCCCACACAAATAAAAGTATTTAAGTGCACTTAAACTCTAGTCCAATAAGTTGCTGTTATTCTTGTCTCTGTTTTTGCTCTGGTCGTTAGCTGTGTTTTCCCCCAGTTTGGAAGACAATCTCACAACAAGTTTCAGTCTTTTGATTTTGTTTATTAAACTGTGAGTGTTTTAGTGTTAATTTGTATTTTTATTATCATCTGTGACAGGTCACTTAAGTTGCTTACTAATTCATAATTATGCTGTTTGAATAATAATACTACAATAATAAGCTTGTAAATGTTTTAACAGAATTAATATTCTATTGTCTATAATTGTTTGCAATGTATAACTTGCTCTTGCATTAAATGCTTTTTATTTTTTTGTTGGCATGCTAATGTAACTTTATTAAATTTCTCTGTATTGTTAAACTCTCAATGTTTGTCCATTTGTGTATCAACATCTACTGTTGGAAGGAGCATCAACTTGTCCCAAAAATATTTGTGTAATATCTGAAGTTTTTGTAAACTGAATTTCTACCTAAAATCTTCAAGATTGAGAACATTTTGATCCAGGACATGTAAGAAGCTGTATGTTGATGTTCCTATGAAAGGCAGTGTCTGATTGGTTGCTGGTGCCCAGAGAGCCATGTATGACAGTGTGTGTGCGTGTGTGTGTTGCAGAGGCTGATCATGCAGAAGGCTGCTGAGGACTTGAGGAATGAAGCCAAGAAGAAGGCTGAGGAGAAGGAGCAGTACATCAACGAGAGAGTGCCCATCCTCAAGACCGAGGGCATGAACCAAGGTGTGTATTTACTGTATATGAAGCATCATTAAGGGACAAGGTCAATATGGGGCTCAGAAACCTGTCTCTGATGTGGAGTCCAAAGGAGTACACAATTATCATATTGACGTCCACACACACATCATAGGTTGGTGGGTTGGACACACATCATAGGTTGGTGGGTTGGACATACATCATAGGTTGGTGGGTTGGACATACATCATAGGTTGGTGGGTTGGACATACATCATAGGTTGGTGGGTTGGACACACATCATTGGTTGGTGGGTTGGACACACATCATAGGTTGGTGGGTTGGACATACATCATAGGTTGGTGGGTTGGACATACATCATAGGTTGGTGGGTTGGACACACATCATTGGTTGGTGGGTTGGACACACATCATAGGTTGGTGGGTTGGACATACATCATAGGTTGGTGGGTTGGACATACATCATAGGTTGGTGGGTTGGACACACATCATTGGTTGGTGGGTTGGACATACATCATAGGTTGGTGGGTTGGA